TAGTTTTACTGAAAAAACATTTGAAATATATTTAGGAGGTTTTAGAAATTACACATGAAATTTGAGATTTTTGAGATGAAGAAAAGTATTTTTAATCTTAACATAAAAATCACTTTGCACATGGACTATTCAAAACAAATACTCAATATTAAAAATACTTCACAAAAAAATGATTTTTCGTGTGTGAAAGTATAATGTATACTGAAAGGCTGCCAAATTTCATGACGATATACACATTATATCAAAAGTTATTAGTATCAAATATATAGACTATAAAAGTACAAAAAGGTCATGAGGTCGTTCAAATTGACTAAGGCCGTATGGAGAGAGTTGAAGATTTAAAATCAAAAATATATCCAATTGAAGACAAGATTTGATGAAAATATCAGACATGTAAAAGAAGATAAGACCAAAATATGGAAAAGGTTGTAATGATAAACTTATCAGTCAAAAAAGAATTAAAGAAACACACTGAGGAAGAAAAGAACATACGTAACAGAATAAAACATCTGGAAAATGAATTATTAAGTGTAAAGAATAAATCAGCCACACTTCTTTCTGCATTAGCTCAGAAGTTATAATTGGGAACACCATCTGCTATAAAATATGGAATAGACTTTATACGGTCTACACCTATCACTACCTCTACTGTATTACTTGTTACAAAAGGACTTTTCTGGACTACTTCAACCATGAAGATACCAAATCCAATTGCAGAATTTAGATTACCAATTCCACAATGGCCAATAGAGAAATCAATGAAATAAAAGGGGGAGATACCATGGGAATCATACCAGGCTCAGTGTGAAATCAGAGTGAATGGGTGGAATAGTGAACAAACCATCCATCTTGCTGCCAATTTAATCCTATCACGACAGGTCATGTGTTAAAGGCCATGTCATCGTGTTTGTTGGCTTGTATTCAAAATTTTATTGAACTACTATTTTATGAATTTATGTCAATAAATTTGGAATCAAATTGTAGATTATAAATCAAATTTTAGTATTATACATTAGTTAATTTCTTAATTTAAAAGTAAATAATAAAAAAACACACCTAAACTTCAATTTTTGTGTGTCATGTGGTATGTTAAATGCAGCACTGATTCAAATTAGATGTTTGTGATGTCCAAATACAAAATCTACAGTTTCATATGAGCTAGGAACTGAAACTTCCAATATTGACAAGCTAGAATATAAAATAAGAACTTATATTTTCTATATGAAAAGATATTGCTCATGTACTGAATCATACAGTGGCCCCTCACCCACATCTTTCCATTTTTGGATATAGTCTCTTATATACACTTCCTTCTATATATGACATGAATAATCTAAAAAGCTTAAAATATCTCCCTAGTGGTCTTCTTAGCCATTTTGACATGTTATTGTGTTAATTTCATTCTTTTCATACAATATTTCAAACGATAAGGTAAGTCCTTAGTGAGCTCGAAATTTCATATTTTTTTAGACCCAAATACAGCTTAGTTACTAAGCTTGATAAATCATAGTGAAATTCTATGGCATTGATATAGTAATTTATGATTTTATGGTTATTTAAAATGTATATAAATTTCTTTTCACATCCTCCATATGAGAAATTTCATAAGGCTTAACCTACAACAAATGGCAAATAGTAATAATGTATATACATACATAATGTATAATAATTGAAATGTGACTGTATTTCACAAAATACTAATCTACTAAAACATAACCAAGACAGGTCACTTTATAAAGACTAAAGATTTGTTATATATTATTGGATACAGTAACATGAGAGTACATGCAGCATCATTGCAACTTCTGTATTGTTATCCAGGCATGGCTGAAAGGTCAATATAATAAAAATAGATATAAATGTATAATGTTATGAGATTTAGGCTATTTAGTCTAAACATTTATGTCTTTGTTATAATTTGTTGTCATTCTGGAATGAAAGAGACATAATTTATATTTATTTCCTAATT